GCACCTCTCTGGATGCTTCACCCACGTCCCATACAGTTAATTGCCACCACTACTAAGACACATAACATACACAGCATCATAGAATACACAGCACATACAAAATGACGAATACGTGTTTGGCCGTACGTGTGTGAACTGACTTACCTTTACTAATGGGGGTTGATCTACAGCTCTGATAGTTGTTATCAAACGAGCCTAGCGTCTGATGGACGAGCCTGGCGTCTGATGGACGAGCCTGGCGTCTGATGGACGAGCCTGGCGTCTGATGGACGAGCCTGGCGTCTGATGGACGAGCCTGGCGTCTGATGGACGAGCCTGGCGTCTGATGGACGAGCCTGGCGTCCGATGGACGAGCCTGGCATCTGATGGACGAGCCTGGCGTTTGATGGACGAGCCTGGCGTCTGATGGACGAGCCTGGCGTCTGATGGACGAGCTGGCGTCTGATGGACGAGCCTGGCGTCTGATGGACGAGCCTGGCGTCTGATGGACGAGCCTGGCATCTGATGGACGAGCCTGGCGTTTGATGGACGAGCCTGGCGTCTGATGGACGAGCCTGGCGTCTGATGGACGAGCCTGGCGTCTGATGGACGAGCCTGGCGTCTGATGGACGAGCCTGGCGTCTGATGGACGAGCCTGGCGTCTGATGGACGAGCCTGGCATCTGATGGACGAGCCTGGCGTTTGATGGACGAGCCTGGCGTCTGATGGACGAGCCTGGCGTCTGATGGACGAGCCTGGCGTCTGATGGACGAGCCTGGCGTCTGATGGACGAGCCTAGCGTCTGATGGACGAGCCTGGCGTCTGATGGAGGAGCCTGGCGTCTGATGGACGAGCCTGGCGTCCGATGGACGAGCCTGGCGTCTGATGGACGAGCCTGGCGTCTGATGGAGGAGCCTGGCGTCTGATGGACGAGCCTGGCGTCCGATGGACGAGCCTGGCGTCCGATGGACGAGCCTGGCGTCTGATGGACGAGCCTGGCGTCTGATGGACGAGCCTGGCGTCTGATGGACGAGCCTGGCGTCTGATGGACGAGCCTGGCGTCTGATGGACGAGCCTGGCGTCTGATGGACGAGCCTGGCGTCTGATGGACGAGCCTGGCGTCTGATGGACGAGCCTTGCGTCTGATGGACGAGCCTTGCGTCTGATGGACGAGCCTGGCGTCTGATGGACGAGCCTGGCGTCTGATGGACGAGCCTGGCGTCTGATGGACGAGCCTTGCGTCTGATGGACGAGCCTGGCGTCTGATGGACGAGCCTGGCGTCTGATGGACGAGCCTGGCGTCTGATGGACGAGCCTGGCGTCTGATGGACGAGCCTGGCGTCTGATGGACGAGCCTAGCATCTGATGGACGAGCCTGGCGTCTGATGGACGAGCCTGGCGTCTGATGGACGAGCCTAGCGTCTGATGGACGAGCCTGGCGTCTGATGGACGAGCCTAGCGTCTGATGGACGAGCCTAGCGTCTGATGGACGAGCCTTGCGTCTGATGGACGAGCCTAGCGTCTGATGGACGAGCCTGGCGTCTGATGGACGAGCCTAGCATCTGATGGACGAGCCTAGCGTCTGATGGACGAGCCTGGCGTCTGATGGACGAGCCTGGCGTCTGATGGACGAGCCTAGCGTCTGATGGATGAGCCTGGCGTCTGATGGACGAGCCTGGCATCTGATGGACGAGCCTGGCATCTGATGGACGAGCCTGGCGTCTGATGGACGAGCCTAGCGTCTGATGGACGAGCCTGGCGTCTGATGGACGAGCCTAGCGTCTGATGGACGAGCCTTGCGTCTGATGGACGAGCCTAGCGTCTGATGGACGAGCCTGGCGTCTGATGGACGAGCCTAGCGTCTGATGGACGAGCCTAGCGTTTGATGGACGAGCCTGCCGTCTGATGGACGAGCCTAGCGTCTGATGGACGAGCCTAGCGTCTGATGGACGAGCCTTGCGTCTGATGGACGAGCCTAGCGTCTGATGGACGAGCCTGGCGTCTGATGGACGAGCCTGGCGTCTGATGGACGAGCCTAGCGTCTGATGGACGAGCCTGGCCTGAAGACGAGTTGCTTGTGGTGCTGGATGACATTACTGACCTGGACGAACGGTTAACCATTGCTTAACCATAAGGTTCGTAGATGATAATGACTTTCATGGGGCAGATCAGGAAGAAGAAAGCATATTTCTGCACAAGTTTATGGATGTCTCCATAGCTATTATATACAATTTTGCTAGTTAAAAGGTTTATCAATGATTTTCATTTTTCTTGGTTAATGCTTCGAAAGAATTAGAAGAAGATTATCGCAATATTCTCAACCTTATACTAAAGTGCGAAGCTTTATCTGGCTTATCATTGTTGGGTGATAAATCGGGTTTGTCGAAAACTGAATACGGTAACCTTGTGTGAGGTGAGCATTAAGGAGCAGGTGTGGACCCTAACTCACCTAAACCACAGAGTAAACCTGGTGCAGGTGTGGTGTGTTGACTCTTTCCCATCCCGCCAGCTTTGTACACAC